GAATGGGCTCCACAATGCACTAGCAAATCTAAATCATGCTGCTTTTGATAAACTGCATATGTACATTGAGGTAACTCAGCGGTTTAAAATGGTAGTCTACTTATTTTGGCATAGTGGGGCTAGCCAAATAACAATCATGCATGACCCCCCCCCCCCCCTAGGCCGTGAATTGAAATAGTTAAGTATCACATAGTAGATAATGTCGATTGGCCTAATAAATGTTCCTTTAAATCCTTTATGTTGGATGATAATCCGTCTTGGTTGAAATATTTACGTCTGAGATACAACCGATAAATCAAAAATTAGTACAAAAGACGATACCCGCTTAATCAAAATAATGATTCAACTCTCAATGCAATGCCTATTTTGACGCACATCAAAGAAGTTGAACCTCTTCAAATTGGCTTAACGTTTTGTCCGAATGTAAATATAACCCACTGTAAATTAGACCCCCATCAGCCCACACTTTATTACGATCGCATACTATGGATATATAGCATAATAATTATGCTCTGATTATTTCTTTGATTTTCGTAAAAGGTACTGTTTAGCATCTCCAGGGCACTTCGACACCTCTATATTTTTTTTTAGCGAAAAGCGTAGTAAACATACTAGAAAACCCACAACATTTATTTAGGTCATACACCAGTAGTAATTTATTATGATTACTCATAAATTATGAAAAACAATATATGATCAAATATCACCCAAAGCTTCACATTGGCTTTTTATTTAAAGATATTCTTTGATCTGAAACGGTTTTTTTCTTCTGTTCAATGCAAGTCTCGTAAAGAAAATAATAAAATTCTATCGAGACCAATCGATTTTTGGTTCTATGAAAATACATTATTAATAAAAAGAACTTGTCCTCAGTATATACACGTACATCAATATATATTATCATTGTTTCTACATATTGTACTGCTGGCCAGTACGTTTCTTGCTGACAATCATTTAGCAATCCGGTCAAATGAAATGATCTATAAAAAAGACAACTGACGTCAAATCATGGGAATAGAATGTGTTCGATTTCAATACTTTCATGTCTTATCAATGCAGTACTTCGGTCATTTTGTGACAAACTTCTGGTGATTTTGTAGTTTATTGCTATGGTTGCGTGTTCAATACAAGGTTTACGCCTGCTGCTCTCCCATTTTCAGCTGTTGATGGCTCTTATACGTGCATAACAATGTAAACACGGGGAGGGGGGCTCAGTTTTTCATACATTCCAAGAGACAGGAAGAGATAAAGACAAAGAGGTCTTTATTTCCATAATAGCTTGCGTTCGGGGGTCTTTAGCACTGGGGAGAAAACGGAGAATCCAAAGAAATACTAAGAGGTAAGGCAAACAGCGTCACGGTATTGATGTAAAATAGTAATATCTGTACCACACACACCCTTTGTTTATCATCGTAAAATTCCATAGAGGCAATAACTGTGAAAGAAAGATTGTCATGTTTACAGGCTATTACTCAATAAAAAGTGTTCATAGCACTTCTGCATTTCGAACATTCGATGTAGAATTCCAACTGGAAATGCCACATAATCAGTGTTTTCAAAGATGGGAGATTTGGTGTTTTTTCTTAGTATTTTCAAAGAATTAAAATCACAGTTTTCCAGAATAAAGAACAAATATAGTATTTCAAACAAACAATAGAAAGTAGCCTTACTAAAACAAAATTTAATATATTTAAAAAAAAACAATATTGGTCGGGAAAATATTCATATCCATCAATCCTAACGGATTCTCATTACTTTGATTTCATGCGGTCATCCTTTTTTACTCTAAGATCGTTAGCAAACGCAAACCCGTTTCCAGACATCAAGACCAAAATGTCATCCAACCTACGCATTTTGTTTCAAACGTTTGGGTTGCTATCCAAAGAACACAATCAGTTTCTTATTATTGTTCAATTTAAATAAGAAAAATAAGATTACTGACCGTTGGGTACATCGGGGCTTAAAAGAAGGGGATTTACAATAAACTCGTTTAAGGACATGCGTAAAAAAATCCAGACTGTTGTTCATGTACAGATTGTGTAATAATTCGTTTGAAAATTATGGAATATTTCATGCACACCCAAAGGAGTTTATTTACATTCAGTTTCAATGAAGGAATTCACCAAAAAAAGTAAAGTTATTTTACGGAACGACTTGTGTTCTAATCTAATTGATTCTATTGATTGCATGGCACATTAGGCGACCGGAGAATAATCTTACCACGGTTGCTACTCCACAGGGAACATCTAGTGATCTTGATCAAACATTATTCATTTGTGTGTACTTGTTCCAACAAGAAAAAGGGATATTTATTTATTGTATTAATAATTGGCCAGTGACTAATATTCGCAGTAACGATTGTTTAGGATAATCTGACATCAACCCAACAATTCCTCCATACACAAGTAATGGTAGAATATTATACTCTATCCAACCTATTAATATCGTTATTTAATAGTACATGTAGTTTTCTTCACATGTCATATATTTTCGATTAAATGTCATCTCCATTTCAGTTAAAGAGCAAGACGGTCCATTTAAGGAGCTAAAATCGCCGACAATGCGTGGTGTACACGCGTTTTCTTTAGAACAGTTGGTGTAGAATACTAGAACGTTAAAGCCGTTTTTATTTCATTTCTGTGCTAATAATAAAATGGAGCCCCATATAGGCTCGAGGGCTTATTTTTATATTTAGTTTCTTTGTTTGGTCTAATGTGTGGCTAATTGAATGCCCATTCATTTCATCATTCGTTTCGGTTTTTATTATTATTTTTTCGTTGCACCGTGGCGAGGTAACTCATTTTACTGAAATCGACTGATCACATTTCGATGACTTTATGTCCTGAACAGAATTACAGGTATTAGATGTTATTACAGGATATTATTAATATTACAGTGCTGATCAATCTGATTAAAACACAGATCCTAGTTCGTTTCGTTTTTTATAGCTCAAAATTTCGTGTTACTTGTCTACTACACTAGGATCTGGAAGCGTTGTTATCATTGACGTGTTCTGGATAATGTGGGGGATTAGCCAATGAAACGGTCTGTTACGGCGAACTTTTGGTGTGAGGTGCACGGAACTGTGGGTAATTCACAGTTGATTGGTTATTGTAACCTGCTTAAGGATGAATCTTGCGTTTTGATTGGTCAATTGGACACTGTCGTTTGGACAATAACACCCCTCTGTTTTAGTAATTTGTTTTAAAATGCTAACATAGCATGTTACAATGTCGATAAACGCGTCTTGGGTCTTAATGAACTCAGGACATGTCTATTGCACAATAACACCCCACTAAATGCGAGGGGGTGTTTATCTCCTAAATCAAATGTCTGACGTCAGATCTTCATGTAGTGTAGGCCATCGAAAGCATAAATAAAACGAAACGAAATATAGATCTTGGGTCCTAATGATCTCAGGACATGTCTATTGCACAATAACACCCCTCTAAATGCGAAACAGGGAGTGTTTATCTCCTAAATCAAATGTCTGACCTCAGATCTTCATGTAGTGTAGGCCATCGTAAGCATAAATAAAACGAAACGAAATATAGATCTGTATTTAAATAAGATTGAGTGCTAATGAGTTACATGTATATATTTTACTCAAGTCCGCAATAAATAAAGTGGAATAGACTTTTATATATTTTTCCACCGTTTGAAATTTTTACAAAATTTAAAATAATTTGGGAAACTAGGTCCTTCAATTGGGTGCCAGTGAGTATAGTTAATAATTTATAACGGTGTCTTGTACTAAGTAATTTATGCTTAGCTTTTCACAAATCGAGTACCGTGGATTATTATGCTCTCCTTTAAGTGGCTTCTGAAATCCACGTACAAAGTCTCAAATGTTAAGGGTATCTTTCGCGGGGTAGGTAGTATGTGAACTCTATTTTAAACGTGGGCATTGCTAACATCTGACGGGTTACTTCATAGTAGTTAATGTTAGTGTCTTTGTTTCTACAGAAATATAGTAGAAATTGGTATCGTTCACGCTGTCGGGTATGCTCAACTTTTCAAAACGTGATACTTCTTTTCAAATGAGAAGATTTGCTTAATGGAAACCTGTCTCTACTATTGTCAGTGTTAATTAATCCGCCATATTTGCTGTCCATCTTATCATACAATAAAATTACACATTGCATGTCATTCGTATATAAAAATGGACCATCATATAACAAGCTGATACAATGACTACTTTTTAACTTCAATCAAAATATCACCCAATCAAAAGATAGCAATGTCACCTTCAGCTGGTATATTATGTAAATGAGAATCTAACTTCCGTACAATGTTATTAGATGAGTTGTGACTAGCAGACAAAACAAACTCCTCCATTTTTTAATTACTAAAATGGAATACGTGTAGTACACTGGTGCCAGTCTGATTAATTCACTAATCAATATAAGCTTATTTACTAGTATAAGAACACTTTCATGAAATGCCAACTAAGAAACGTGTTTTTGTCTTGAGAGTAATCTATTGTTAATAATATTCATAAGAGAATTCTGTAAATGCAGCGACACATTTATTTGATATATTGTTCTAAGCGTAAGTCAACTCCTTTAAAGGTTTTGTGTGTCGGTATTTTGACAAGAACGTGTACATTTGCTTGGGATATCAGTGGCATTAAGAATGGGGCCTATGTTAAAGGGGCGTCTCTTTCTTAAAAAGATGCAGCCTCTTTAATTGGGATAGAAAATAAAAGTTTCGATTTAGTCTAGTTACTTTGTTTTATGTTGACTTACTTTGAGAAGTGGATATATATGTCTATAGTTCAAACGTGAGGACCGCAGACAAAGCCAATGTTGTGAATAATTGGTTTTATGTTCAACAGTCGACAGGTTAGACCAAAAACGTAACTAAAATTAATAAATAAAAAGACTTCCCCTTAATATTTAGAAATCAAAATAAATTTTATTGAGGTCGTCCCACCAGATTAACGCAATTCAGAGGTTTGGCACCTTTAACGTGTTTGATGAAGATAAATCTGGACTTCTGAAAGTCATCTATAGAAATACCGCGACACAAATGTGATTTATCATTTTCATACCAATCTTCTGTATGTCGTTACTATATATAAATACGATTACACTGAAGAAACGGGTCTATTTTAGGTAATAACTTTAATTGCAGTAATAGTTACAAGATGTTGAAAGTATGGATTATTGTAGTAATAGTAATTTATAACAATAAAAATCCCTGGTAACCAAAATACCATTGTCGTCCACTATTCAATCTTTCTTCTTTTCTCTGTATCGATTCTTACAAGACTCTCTCCTCAACACTTAAAGCTACTAAGACTTAAGCAGATTGCTTCAAACAAGCGTTCTGTTAATAAAATTGCCAGTCGAAATTATAAGTGGATAGTTTTTGACTATCGGTTTTTAAATGGAATAAAGAGGAATATAAAGGTAGAGTCTTTTTGAAAAAAATCTGGCAATAGAAAATTAGAAATTGTTTAAGAATTTCATGAATTGCACTTTTGTTCAGAGAAAAAAAATTATTTTCCAATGACCTTGACACATGTTTAAAAAGGTTAGCCCTTGACTACACTTTCACAAATAAATCACTGTATTGTAACACAATAGACAATGGTGTGTTTTCTTCTATTGACAGTCTGTAAGTGGTCACCTTTCTATAACAATAATGCTCTCGGATGGATCAATAAAAAGGGAGAAATTTTTAGCACAATGTGTAATTTGGACCTGACCAATGCATGGTATGATGAACTCATGTGAGCATGGATACCATTTCTTTAAATCATCTTTTTTGAAAACCATGATAAGGTATGTGACCTGGTTGTTATAGCCACTACAGTTGTTTATTAAGCATTAAGCAGTTCGGTAGTCGTATAGCTATTTACAAGAAGTACCATATTCACCAAGCAATGGTAGCGAGCATTATCATATCTCTAACGATTGCAACACTCGAAGGCAATTGTGGACGATTGATTTCATTGGTCTACTAGATTCTCTGACAAACTAATCATAATAGTCGATACAACTTCGTGCTTATTTCGTGCTTATATTAACTCTATTCTATAACTGTTATACATAACCCAAATAAGTGTGACGAATAAGGTTTTCGGAAATGTATAGTTCATTTTAATCTATGCGGAATTAGCAGAGACATTGCTAGTTGAAATCAACTTCTGAGAGAAAGTCTGTTTCTGTCCTTAGCCTATCTTTAAATTAATGTGGGGGCCGAACCCAGGGGTAGCCAATTAATCAGTAAATCCCTTACTTCATCATAGAATGACAACGCTCGTAACCGTTGACTTGTGAATATGTTGAAGTACCTCGGATACCCACACCACTTACCTTATTTGGTTTTCAAAATTAGAATACAATAATTATTAAATACATCATAGGTTTATACTAAATTCAAAACCAGATAAAAGAACGTAAGAAACGCCGTTTAGTGAACGACAATGTTATTTTCTAATAGGTGTAAGGGGCAACAATATAATAGAAAAACAAAAAGGGAAAAAAACAATGTGGTGACACTACTCGGGTGTATAATATTGGAAGAACTTTAAAAAGGTTTAAAAAGTCCTCGTACTCACCCGTTTTCTTAAAATTGCATAGTAGTAAATTCCATTATTTAAGACACTAATCATGATATAATATATCCAAGAAAACTGAAAGCTTAATAGCATCGCACAATCGATCATTCAACATCATGATATACATAATGGAAACCACGAATAAAACATCCTCTTAATGAATATCATAAACTATCCAACTCTATTTTAACTTTAGAAAATAAAAGGGTAAAAACACTTTGAATAAATCCTGTGAACTACATGCACATGTAAAACATATTCCAAATCCGATTCTTTCTCCGTCTCACAACTATTGCCCGCACTAGTTTTATATTAATCCATTCAGTTTGAAATCAAACAATGTTCATATTATTATCATCAAAGTCACTCAAAAATGATCAAAACCAATTATAAATCTTAAAGGAAAAGATTATCTTGTAATCCTTTAAGGATTATCAAAGAATGTATATTCATATCTGGAACAACATAATTGCATGCGGTTTTGAAAATATTCCATAAGGTGACATCAATTAAAAATTTTGATATGATATTATATAATACAATCAAAAAGATTGGGGTCAAAGGTTACTTTCCAAATTCACCAAAGATTCTAATCCTAATAGACAAAAACATACAAGTGGAAATTGTTTAAACTATAAATAGAGAAAATTTCAGAAAATCAACTATATAAGATGGAGCTATAATGTTATTATTTTTTTGGTTCTTTTCATAAATATGTATACTTTTTGAATTATTATTAATTAATTTAATATATATTTCAAAACAAAACATACACGATACAGGTGTGTGGTGGGTGAAAGTAATGCATGGTATGTGTTAGTGGCTTAAAAAGTGGAAAATGCTTCACACCGACTCTCAGTGGAAAATAGGCATGTAAAAATTCTATCACAAATTTATTTGGAATGAAAACAAATTTCAATAACGAAACATTTTCTCACTCAACTAGTATACAGTCGATATCATAAACGACACTTCAATTGTTATCTTTATACAAACCAATCCGGAACACACTAGTATCACTTGTTGGCTTTGGGTGTCCAAGACTCCTTCACGACATGCATCTTATTGGACTTGCATACTTTAAAGGATTATAAAAACTTTGATCTTGTTTACTGCTTCGTTTTTTGAGAAGGATCTAAGCTTTAACAACTATGGATGGTATGGTACTAATTACGTCATATCCGGCCACGACCGGTTTTATGAGCGTAAAATTTGTTAAAGTTTTCCGTAATAATGGGCACGGGTATAGACAGGGTTAGAACACCCGCCAAAGCACATAAAGATCCGATAAGTTTACCCCACACCCCAACAGGAACTTTGTCCCCATAACCCACCGTTGTCATGGTTATCACAGCCCACCAAAATCCATCGGGAATACTGTTTATTTGGGATTCGTCGATCCCGAGTTCGGCATAGTAAATGGCGCTCGAGAAGAGCAGAATGCATACTATCATGGCGACTAAGAATAACAACAGACCCTGTAAACTGGCCCTAAACGTCATTATTAAAACCTGAAGGCCTGCCGAGTGTTTGGTAAGTTTAAAAACTCTTACCAGTCGTATAACTCGAAGAAACGCCAGAGATGTGCTGGTATTAGCACTATCACAGTCCATGGTGATTAATACGTTTGACAACGTCACGTAGTAAGGTATAACAGCTGTAATATCCACCAAATTTTTAAAATCTTTAAAGAATTTAGTTTTGCTGGGGCAAACTATAATCCGTATAACCACTTCCACGGTAAACCAAAAAGTGCACAGGGTTTCGATGATAAAGAAAGGTTCAGCAAAGTCGGGGCTGTTCCCAGGTACACATTCTACGTGTTGCACTGATGGTATGGTTTCAACACAAAACAATACAATAGATATAAGAGTTACTAAAACAGATATAATAGCCACAACATACGCCGGTTTGGACGTTTCTGGGTACTCCATGATCATCCAGATTTTTTTCTGAATGGGACCCTCAGGAAGTAGGATGGTCTCCTCAACGTACCCTTCATCTGCACGGTAAGCGTCAATCTCTTCACTCTCTATCTCAAAAAAATCAAGTTCACTTTGAAAAATGTCGTCCGGTACAGTTTCTGGTCGCCGTAACCCACCGCCATATTGATAGTAATTAAAAATTGCTTCAAATGTTGGTCTGTGTCGATCAAAGAAGTACTCTCGTTTTCGCCGATCATAATATCGTTGTCTTTTATTGGGGTCACCCAGGAGAGTGGAGGGGTGTCTCTCAAAAACAGTTTGCCAGGCCTCGTAGTGCATGCCGCTGACATTTATGGCTATTCTATCACAGGTTTCTATTGAACACTGATGGCTACCTGTTAGAGTACCCCTACAGCCACTACTTCGTTTATTTTCTAAGGCATGATTATTATTGTGTCTGTTATCACCATGCAGCCAGGATTCGTCCTCTCTGTCTGCTACATTTAACCTCTCCCTACTACTGTGTGCCCTACGGTACGGCGCCTGATTTAACAATGAAACCACGGCCATTCTACCTCAGTCACATTCCTTTTTACCGTCACAGTACAGCTTGACTTTAACTATATTAATCCGTGTTAGGAAAATTCATGTTTGAGAAGAAGGGCTTTTTAAACTTCTTCCATTCTTTACACACGGGTATATCCTTCATATTGTACGTTGTGCTGAGTAAAAACAAAGTACAAGTGACTTATTGATCACGATAACATAGACACGTTCTTACTATATAACTTATTTCGTTCCATTGAACTGACTTTACAGATGAACTGTGTTAACTATACATATTCTCAAACTCCGATATGTTATCGTCTGCTATAGTAGCCGCCATTACAACTTCACTGTCCAATCTGGGCCGCTATTGATTAATAAAGTGGCGATTTACAGGCGACCAAACCGAGTTTCTGGTTGAAATGGACGATCAACTTCAGGGGATAAATACTCTTTCGTTCCTTTTCGCTAATTCCAGCGCACACGTACACACGTTTCAAGACCTGACCGAGAACATTTGAAGAAAGGTATAGTGTTGTTAAGGAACGCCGAGCTGACTCACAGCAAGTGTATTCCACTTCGATCGGTCGGACGGTTGAAGAAATCCCTCGACACGTGAACAATCATTCAATCGTAACGTTTAATCTGGTATTTTTTGCTGGTTATCGAAGTTTATATTTCCACAGCACTTGAAAGAATTGACCTGGATTACAACTGTAACAACTTTAGATGAAATAGAAGAAATAATTATCCGATCAATAAAATAATTTCGTCTCGCAAAGTGAAACAAAGCTACTTTACAATATACACGATAGATATGGTACACATACTAATAACTTCTCCTTCATGTATATATCGTCATATTGGCCTTGAGAAAAGCAGCATGGTGTTACTATACCGAAGCGAAATGCCTGATGAAATGATGCCTAACCTTATAAATAGCCAAGCACACAGTAAAGTATCAGATCAATTCATACCGAACAAACTGTTTATAAACCAATAAAACAGCGAGTACAAGTTGTCTGCTGAAGGACCGGTTAATGTCATTGGTATGTTGTTAGAAATGTGGATTAATAGATATGTATACAAATAAAATATACTTGTAAACAGAATAATTGAGGCTGTGCTTCATTGGAATCAATCAGGTTGAAGTCATGACATTTATCCTGTGATATGTGTCTACAATCATATCTTATTTATTTAATTGTTAATAATTAAACAGACGTGTGCACGATACGCCTTTACTCCATACGGCAACATTTAATGTGTGCGTTGTGGGTTGATTGTGATTTGGCTGAGTAATAATAAAGACCTATAGATTTTTATTATTATAAATCATTCATATTATCGGCGCATTGCATAAATCTAATGGGTATTACCGTGATTATTTTCAGTTGATACGCGTATTAATTATGACGTTTTCATCCATGGAGACATCTGTGTTAATGAGCCAAGATTAAGCAGACTTATTAAATCTACGACACACCCAATAACTGACCTAGTTAATCAAAATAAATGCTATTTAGAATTATGCCCCCCCACCCTTCTTATTTGGAAATCATGCATACGAAACTGGTGTGAAAATAATGGTACAATCAACTGCGGATTGATTGACATATAGTTGCAATTAAACATAATATGGAATATCGATATCGAACTCAGGGATGAAATTGAGTGGTCATTTTTTGTCTGTATTGTATCTTTACAAAACATGAGATCTACAGACAATTGCCTCCATATCCAATATTTTATTTGAAATTTCAGTTACACAGCAATTATGGTAAATTTTTATTTTAAAGAAGCTGGTCCAGAGTTTACAGTGTAATCCTTTTTTTTTTAAAACGGTAGGATTAAGTATGCAAATCAAACGTCAAAATGTCGACAAAGAGTTAATGCTAAATCTATATAATATGCACAGTGTATTTTTGTTTCATTTTCTTCTTTTCTTTTTTAAGAGTAGGATTAAGTATGCAAATTAAATATCAAAATGTCCAGAGACTTACATGTACAGCTAAATCTATATAGTATCCACCATCTTGACGCATTGCAAACGTAGTTGGTACTTATTCTATATAATGTTCACCTATTTAATGTTAATACCAATTCTAAATAATATCCTCCATTTTGACGCATTCAAAACCAGGAGTTAATTCTAATTCCATATTGACGCATTCAAAACCGAGAGTTGGTGCTAATTATATATGATGCCCTCCATCTTGACGCATTCAACACCGAGAGTTAATGCTAATTCAATTATATATAGTATCTCCATTTTGAAGAATTCCAAACCGAGAGTTAATACTAATTCTACCGACCGTCTTGACGCATTCAAAACCAAGAATTAATACTAATATAATTCTGTCCAAAACAGAGAGCTAATGCTAACATGATGCCATCCATCTTAACGCATTAAAACAGAGAGTTAATGCTAATTCAATTCTATTTCCTCCATCCTGGCGCATTTAAAACCAAGAGTTAATACTAATTATATCCACCATCTTGACGCATTCAAACAGAAAGCTATTGCTAAGTATATATGATGTCCTCCATCATGTCATCTTGACGCATTCAAAACCGCGAGTTAATATTAATGCTATATGACCCCCACCCCTTCGTCAACACACAAATACATATCTTGACGCATGTTAATACCAATTTTATATAATGTCACCAATTGAAGCCATGTATTATCAGAATGAGAATATACCCAGTGGACCAGTGCTGTATATGGGAACTATAGAATATAGTAAATCTAGAAGATTGATTGGTATATAGAGAGGATAAGATAAATGTATATAACGTAAATACGTGTCTTTAATTAATAATTAAGCACTGACTTATCAATAAAGCAGGAGTAGATGAAGATTAAAGACTTAACGTCCATTATATATCACACCCTATATACATGTAATTGGTGCTAGCAGTTAGTTAGATATTTAGATTATAATAAATTAGATTCACAGTTTTATAACATTCCATCGTCTTTTTATATTCGCCATTGTATATCGATTGCCAAATCTCAACCACATACAGTATCGACATTTTGGGGTTTTTGGGTTTTTTTTAAAGTTTCTACAATTAATGTTCTTATTTTGGCCTAGTTGAAAGCGGACGATTGCCAAATTTAAACAAATACCAATATTTTAGATACAAAGATTCTACCGGTAATAATTCTCAATTTGTCTGTGAAATCATCTTAGGTGGAAGCGGACGTTAACTACTACTACTATTAATAATAATAATAATACCCTGTACGACTGCTTAAAGTAGCTATCATCCAAAATCTTCAACATTGAAAACACAAATTATTTGTCAATTTAAATCAACATTGATGCTGTGATCTTACCGGAAAAAGATAGGCTTCTGATATCCAATATTTAAGACAAAATAAACATTTTACCATTGGTACACGAATCGTGTACCATAATGCGTTTCAGCTCCAGTTCTAGCAAGAGACTGAGGAACGAGGCTAGACATATTGCACCAAACCAAACGGCGTATATAGACTGGAATAACCAGGCGCTAGAAATTTGCATTCGGTTGAGACTGCTGGCTTATTTCGCGGAACATAACTGATTTGAAATTAGAGTAAAAACGGAAACCATTGAATGTATATCAGTTTATATACATTCATATTACAGTATTATACGAGTTGCGACCCACTTGTGTCAATTTCTAGATCCCAAATGTTAGCGATTTAGCTCCTTTAAATCCAGAGTATAAAATAATTTATCAACAGACATATTTTGTCATCGGGTGTTCTACGAAGATGTGAATAAGACGACCGAAAAGTTAGGAGATCCGGGCAAGACATCGCTCTAATGAAACACATCCGAAAATGGGCATTATTCAAAATATCTAACAAACCTGAATTTTCTAAATGAGATCGGTTGGAATTGGGATTGTATTGTGTTCAAGAGAGCCCAATGATTTGTTGTTCCTGGAAAGCTGGTAAAACAATTAGAATGAACGTAAACCCGTAGAAAGAATACTAATATTAAATATTCAGTGCCAGGGCACCACCCCAATAGTTACAATAGATACGTTACATTGTAAATTAAATATTCAGTGCCAGGGCACCACCCCAATAGTTACAATAGATACGTTACATTGTAAATGGTATGTACACTATATTTACGTCTCGAGGGAGTTTTACGACATTAATCTAATATCTACTCATCATAATCATTGTTTATTATCATTTTACCCAATTTAATCTACGTCATCCGTATCATATTCCTTATAATTATATTATTGTATCACTTCATAGATAACCGCCTATAGTTTTATATGTGTCATTTTATATGTAAATCGTCATTAACTTACCATCCCTACCGGATAAACACAGATTTATGTAGCTTCCTGGAAAAATGTCCCACCAACGCAAACTTGGTCTCAAATGAATTGGATGATTCATAGGTACTCCAGAAAAAAATGACCCATCATGATCGCTTGGGGAAAATTTTTGGAGTGGGGTCAGGTCAAAGGTCAAGGTCGACCAATAAAAAAACCCCAGTCAATATCTCAAAAACTATCAATGTTAGACCCTATAAATGTATTATCAACATCATGTACAAAATTTTTACTATGCTAGATGAGTGGACAGCGGTGTCCGATACTCTGAACCTTGATTCTTAAGTTGCGGGTGCCCTTCCCATGGGGATGGGGGGGGGTCTGAAAAAAACGTCGAAATTTCGAGTTTGATTGGACTTTTGCGTACAGTAATCAACATTCATGCATACGTCGACCAACTTCAGATGTGGCCAAAAACACTGCTTAAGAAGACCCCCGACCCTTTCTTCCTCCCTTAAGAACAACCACTTGAGAGAGGAGTTCATTCGACTTCTGCGTTTCGTTATAAGTTTCACTATTGGTCTGCTAGAACATAAGACTAACTCAAGAACGACAAAACGGTAGACCCATGGATGAAATGACCAAAATGACGATTTAATTCGACTTTTGCGTAAAACGATCAACTTTCGTGCATATGTCGACCAACCTCAGATGCCATCAAAAACACTGCTTAAGAAGACCCACGACACTCCCTTCCTCTACTTCAGCCTACAAATATCATCCTTCCTGCCTATGTAAACTTACCTCAGATAACATCAAAAACTCTGCTTAAGTAGATCCCCGACCCATTCTTCACCACTTAAAACGCCCCTTTAGCCCCATCAGAGTTGAGTTAATTGAACTTCCGAGTTCAACATTAATTTTCACTATTAGTCCACGGTTTAGTATGGGTTTTATATAGCTCGGCTCTCGGAGAAGGGAGCTGATTTAGTTGATGACCCTAAAAGCTCCCGACGTTCATTCTGTTTCACCTAAATACAATCTGTAGGATTTGTCATACTCTGACATTCCTAGATCTTCCAAACATAGTGATATTTACATTAAAGAATCCAATGAATTGCTCTCGTACGGTGTTGTCGACCTAATCACTAATGTGCCAAGAGAAGAAACCTTGATTTCAGAGTTCTTGAAACCCGTATTCGACAACTTTCTACACCACTGGATACATCACAAGTTGATACCATTATTCCTTTGATCAAGCAATGCCTGGAATCCACATATTTCACATGAGGAAAAACCTATTATGGACAGATCCATGGTTTACCAATGGGAAATACTTTATCCCCGCCGATTTACATGATAGCACCAGAAGGAGGCACCCTAACCGCTCATTTTTAACCTGGTTTAGAAAGATGGATAACACCTTCGTTACGTTACAAAATGAAGATGATACTGTCGTCCACTTGGAACAACCAACATCCAAGAATGAAGTTCACAATGGAGAATGAAACCAGCAGCAGCCTCCCATTTCTTAATGTAATGTTAAGAAGAGAGGGCTCCAATGTCACCACCTTAGTGTACAGAAAACCAACACACGTGGACCAATATATCTACTACAAATCTAATCACCCAAATGCATAAAAAGCAGGCATTATCACCACGTTTACTGAAAGAGCCAAAACCATTTGTGGCCCCGAATCCCTCAACCTGGGAGTACAACACCTAAAAGACGTCTTCA